TCCCTACACTCTGCAGCTGGTACAGAAGCACCAAAGAAGTTGCCATCTCACAATCACATAACAAAGGAAGGAATAAGGTCAACACTTGTTCACATACCTTTACGTTCCATTCAAGAGAAGGATGAAACTGATAGTCGAAACCAGAATGCTCTAGTTGCCCCATTCAATGCCACAGAAGAAGAAAGAATAGCTTGGTTTCGAGAACAGCTGCATAACTTCAAGATTCTCAAGTCAAACAATTTGACACGACAATTTCATGCTCGAGTTTTGGGATTTTTCAGCCAGGAATGTGAGGCTCAGTTTTTCATGACTTGGATTTCACCTGCAAGCTTATTTGGAGGGAGAGAATTGCTGTCTGTGGAAAGCGTTTTCAAGAACCATCCTAAGGCATGTATAATAATTTTATCAAGAACTTTGGACACCAGACATGGCTACAGAATCCTGAAACCACTGCTTGATCACGGGTTCAAAGTGCAGCCAATAGCCCCAGACTTGCCATTTTTGTTCAAGAGGACTCCAGCTGAAGCTTGGTTTCATGAGTTGAAGAAGGGTAGAAAGGATCCTGGTGAGATTCCCTTGTCTCAGAATCTATCTAATCTGATAAGACTTGCAGTTCTCTACAAATATGGCGGTGTCTACATAGATGCAGATTTTATAGTTCTTAAACCCTTAACAGGGTTAAGGAATTCTATTGGTGCACAAAGCATGAATTTGGATTCTAAGCACTGGACCAGATTAAATAATGCAGTTCTGATTTTTGATAGGAGACATCCACTTCTGCATAGATTCATCAGCGAATTTTCGTCGACTTTTGATGGAAATAAATGGGGGCACAACGGTCCCTACTTGGTTTCCAGAGTGATTAAAAGGCTGGGGAAAAGGCATGATTTCAACTTTACAATCTTGCCTCCTATGGCCTTTTATCCAGTGGACTGGAACAAGATAAGTGGGTTATTTACAAAGCCAGAAACTTTGGAAGAATCAAGATGGGTAGAAGCCAAACTGCTTCAGCTCAGAGGGAAGACTTATGGGATTCATCTATGGAACAAACATAGTAACAGATTGAGAATTCAAGAAGGAAGCGTCATAGGAAGACTTGTATCAGATTACTGTGTCATTTGCAACCATAAATACAGTTCTTAGATAATAGTTGTTGACATGTTCACAGTTCATCATTCAGGGGAACCAAAATATCTTTTGCATACCAAATTTTTATTCTTCCCACTGTACAGGAAATACTCTGATTGTAGTCAATCACAAGTAACTATATAGTGGAGGAACTCTCTTGCGGTCTTCAAAAAATATTGATTTTCTACCTTTATTATTATTTCAATAAAAAAAAAGCTTAAAATCCAATAGTAACTGCAATTTCCCCCAATTTTTGGAAGTGAAACACGGTAACCATGATGCAATTGCAATTGAAAACAACTAGCAATCTAAACCTTAGATAGGAGTTGTCTGAATCTAAATTTTCTACACTTTTACAAAATGATCCTGCCAATCTACTATTGAAAACTTTTTTCTTGTAAATTTGGTTAACTTCGGTCTTTATAATCTAAATGCCAAAATTTGCAACCATACATATCTACGCATTGGGGCTAACCTACTTTCTCTATCAGTTCTTGACAAACGGGTGGACTAATCTGCTTGATAACTGCCCAAGGATTCTGGAATTCATGCTTTAGTCAAGCTAGTATGCGCCATTTCATTAATCTCCTGAGGGATGTTTTCTCCTTACCTTAATAGTCACCAACTTCTACTTGTATAAGCTGAGGACAAAGATACACAGGAAGCAGCTGAAGATGCCAAAGAAGATGAAGACATATAACTTATGGTGCCCTATGTTCTGCGTGTACACTGTGATCTTCAGAGACAATAAACCAGTAGATTCTACATCTCTTTCCTAAGTAGATTCAATATGACGTGTCCAAAAGCACTACAAGAACAATGCAAATAAAATATACCCGTTTCTTTACTCCTTTAAATTTCAAGATCTAGCATAATGGAGAACACAAAGAAGGCCAACATCACTAAAAGACTTAAGATGACTGCACCTTTCATTGAAATGTAATACAAAAACACAATATTAAACCTAAGCCCCAAATTGAACATAGAAAAGTACTGTGCTAGGGAAGCATGTGCATTTTCATTGCAAGGTTTAATTTGATAAAACAGAACTTTTCCAGTGTTACCAACGCACTCAGTACTCACAGTCCTATCCCTTTCCCATTATCTCATTCTACTAACATCTCTTACTTTTCTTTAACATAAGCAGAAACCTTTGCCTAGTGATAAATGAGATTACACAAAAAGTCCAATGAAGCACAAATCCTAACAAAAATCCACCCAATATTTTTATTTTAAAAAATAACTATTGTCTTTCCAATTCCCAGCTCCAAAACAACAGAAAGAAAACACAGTGACCTCAATTAAGGATAATGCAAATTTAAAAGTAAAAACTGATATAACACAAGCAAAATCCAAATTGTGTATGTCACAATGGAATCACATATCAACAACTAAACCATTTAGGACTCAAAATTACAATTCAGCACTAAAATCAGCCAGAAAAGAGTGACTCATCAATTTCAATCTTCACCACCTCATTATCCTCGTACTTGTCTTTCTTCGAAGGTGCCGGTGGTGCATAAAGCCTCGGTGGCCCTCTACTCTTCTTCTTGTCCTTTGGCCTCGCCTAATAATAAATAACCCCCAACTTAACATAATATTATAACCGAGAAAAACAAAACCTGAAAATAAATAAAATAATAATAATTTTGATTAAAAAGAGAAAATGGGAGTAGAAGTTTACATTTCCAAATGAATGGTTGAAGCGTTTACCCTTTGCAGTTTTTCTGTCTCCTCTGCCACAATACACTGGCAGAAACAAAAAAATAGTCAAATTTGGAAATGGGGTGTTAGAATTCATACACAACAAAGCGAAATTATTAAAAAGTTTGCTTTTTTTTTTTTTTTTAATTGCTGAAGCAAGTACCAGAAGGGGTTGGGGTGAGAGTGGAGGATGCAGAGGCTGAGAGGGAAGGAAAGGGAGTGGAGAGCGGTGAAGAGAGAGTTTGGGAGTGAGAGAAAGAAAGGTGAGAAGAGGAATTGTTCAATTGAATGGAGAGTGGAGGAGGTGATGCTAAGAGTAGTGACGCCATGGCTGAGGATAACTAAAGAGATAAGGTTTCAGAACGAGGAAAAATAGTGCAGTGTGGTTGATTCTAGTTCTAGAAGTGTAATTCGAACTTAAGTGTTTTTCTTTTTAAACCACGAGAAATAAGAAAGAGGAAAATTGGATGTGAAAAGAGTAAATAGACAAAGGGTAATGTTGAAAATATTTTTAAACTATTATTATAGCTTAAAATTAATATTAATTTTTTAAATGATTAAAAACTTACGGAATATTTTGTATTTACAATTATTCTTGTTTAGTCAATAAAATTTATATTTATATAATATTTTTTTAATAAATCTTCTTTTAATATATTTATTTATAAAATTTTATCAATATATATTAATTTATATTTATTTAATTAACTTAATAGTAGTATTATTAAAATGAATAATATATAATCTTTTATTTAGTATAATACATACACGCATAATTTTGATTTTTATCCAAAAGTTTATATATCATATCTTTCATCGACGAAATTTATTAGTTTAGTGATTAATAATGTTGATAAAGGTAAAGGTAAAGGTTATTATTAATTGAATCAATTTTTTTTTAATGAACATAGTATATAAAGTATTTCAAAATATATAAAGAATTCATCTACGTTTGTAAGATATTATTTACAATACCCAAACATTATTTTAAAATAATTACTGAATTAAGAAACTTGTTTCTATCAACATGTTGTAAAGGATTATTTTCCAAAATATCTAGTAGTCGGTTAAAATATAGATACAGTATTATATAGGTATTTTTAGTATCCTTAAATTAAATAAAATTTTTATTTTGATAATAAGTGTCGATTGAAATTAATTTTCATTATGCGGGTTATCATGAAACTCTAATTTTATTTAAAATGCAAGTTAATTTGATTTTTCTTGAATTACTGTATGTGTTGGAAAGTTATCAAAAAAAAAACTGGGTATTGGATAACGATAATTAATGTGAATAGATGAATAGATGAAGTGCATAGTTGATATAGTTTAGATGTTTGAAGTTTTTTGTCGGTGTTTCTCAACCGTGTCTTTGTGTACTCCCAGGATGAAAGTAAGACTAATCAGGAGGCTCTTTGCTACCTGCATCAAAACCTTCTGCTTAATACCAAAAGGTTGTGTACTTGCACTTGTAGTCTATAAAAAACGCATTCAAAAAATTAGAGCTAACAGAATGAAACAAGAATTGGTAAGCTCAAGGTTTTGATGCAAAAAGTAAACAACCTTCAGGTTTTCAGCTTTAACCTTAGGCTGACTTTGATCCCCGGAGTAGACAACTACACTTGAGAAACACTCAAAGAACATCAAAACTTGATCATATCAATCTCAAACAAAAGTGTGCACTTCATCTATTCACATTATCATTATCCAATACCCAGATATTTACAATAACTTTCCAACTCATAACAGTATGCAAGGAAAAATTAAACTTATTAAGCTCAAGATGTTTTTACTTCTAGGAAGGAAGTTTTCTCAGCTGAAATGCAACAAATTTGTTATATACCTATATACCTGCATCTTATCTTTTCTAGAACCAACAAATCCTTTTTTATTTTTGAAGTTGCTGTATTCTTCCTTCATATAATAATGTCTTTCAATTAAGCAATCCTCTATTTTTAATAGCTGACTTATCTACATGCACAATTGGTTCAACTACAGAACCATGATGAACAAGGTCAGAGAATTCAGCAACATAGGGTGCATACTTGTAATTAACTCTATATTTGACTCCTTGGGTAGTCCAACCAGATGCATCCCATATTGTTGCATACAAAGTCATTGGCTTAGAGGGGAAATCTCCTCTCTAATAGGAACATGGATAAACAATAATACACAGTTATGAAAATAAGTGAGCAGCAACTCACACTTCAAAGTAGAAATTTACATGGTTGAATAAGCAAGCAACAACTGAATTCCTTATTTATTACAGTAACTATAGATAGTAGTAACTAAGGAAAGAAAAAGAATATTAGTGACAGCTTATGATTTTAGGCAGACAAAAGTATTCGAGTGCTAAAAGGATATATACCATTTAAGTTTTAGTAACCTTAGTATCTGATTCTATTCATTCTCAACAAGTAAGCAAAGCATCAGATATATCAGATATAGTACTGATACCATTACAGGAAAAAAATACTTGTTTGATAGAATGGGACAAGAAAACTAGAGAAAATCTTTCTTCATTTGGCATGTCTGTTTTGTTATACCCCTGTCTCATACTTTCTCTGTGTGAAAGAATGGATACAAACCCAAAATTGATTAGCTGCAGCCGAACCATCACAAATTCACAAGAAGGCCTAAAAAAGGAAAATTGAAGAGAAGCGATCTAAATACACAATCATTAATCAAACTCCTGTTTTAATTCCATTAAAACAACTTGGACTAATTAATAGTTGAATTCTAGTTTTGTTCAAGGCATACTTTTACGTTCCTTGTATATTCTCTATTTACACATTCATTGTTCTTATTAGAAAATACTTGAGCCACAGAGAAGCAAAATCAGTAAAACCATGATTGCTAACTAGCAAAAACACTATTGCTAAAACAAAATCAATCATTGATTCATTCATTTGGTAAAAAACCAATATACAGACACATGATCCCACTTTCCACTTGATTCCATGTTTGCTAATAGAAACTTGGTAAAATTAGAAAACACCCATCATTTATTGGGGTGGACAGCATAATAGGCCTGTATAAAAGTGAGAACAAGGAGCGCAACAGCTGCTAAAACTCCTATGAATTTCCACACTGTGGGGATATGATCCCTTATCAAAATTTTGTACCAGTTCCACCAATAGTAAACAATGGTTTCACAAACCCCTCTGCACCGATGCCAAGTCACAATAGGCAATTGTTGCAAAGCCATTATTCTGACATTCCTCACTCTGTGCGCGTTCAAGCTCTCACAAATCACCTCATAACTCGAATCCATGTACTCAGCTCCATTGGAAATCGTTCGAAACAGATTCAACAATTCCTCATTGCTCTTCCCAGCCTCGTTCACTATAACCCCCTTCTCTTTCAACAGCTCAACATCATGCTTACAACAAACCAAACCTTTGAAAAACAAAGCATACGAAGTGTACTTACACCTTATCCAAATTTTGCTCTGCTCCCATGCAATCAAATTCCTCCACCTCACTTCCGTCGTTTCCTTAACATACAACTGCGGAATCCGCAGCACCTCACCATCGAAACTTATCTCAAAGTTGAACCAATCCACCAACCTATGGCGATTCCTTGTGCTTCCACCTTCAATCGCTATTCCAGCAGCTACAAGCCTCGTGGCACACCGCAACAACTCTTGCTTCGCGAGTTTCCCCTCTTGCTGGTTCTGCTCCACTGTGGACAAGTGCATCAAGTGAAGTATGTGGACACCCCCCGAGTTATCCACACCATTGTACCCAAATGCTTCGCGAACAATATTCGCAACGCGATGATCATCGTCGATGTTACTACCATCAGGGAAGACCTTTCGATACAACTTCTTGAGAACAATGAAGGGAATTTGATTCTCAAGCTTCGTGATATCATTCAAAACAGCCACCATCTTCTCCTCGTTTTTTAGTATAGGATCATTGGAATAATTATTCGTATTATTGTTGTTGTTACTGTTAGTATTAGTAATAGTAGTGTTGTTGTTGTTAGTATCACCATTACCATTGATAAAATCTTTTAGTCTTATGAGAAGTTCTAACAGAAAACAACCATCAACTATCATTATTTTACTCAGTTCTTGTGGCTCTGATTCGATGTTACCTCCGTAACTGGCGATAATTAATTTTTCTAATTTGAGGATGTCGGTGCCGCATTCTCGGAGCCTTTGTTCTGATCTTCTATTTTGCTGCTCATGGGGACCTTTCCGGTCGAGGAACTCGCGCATGTAGCGCCATTTGGTCTCTTCCATTCGCTGCAGGTGGCGGGTGGTTCCTCTGTGCAAGGGTCCAATGGAGACCTCTTTGGGCTTGAAGGCTGCGACGTTTGGGACACGAAGCTCGTCGGTGACGGTTGAAATACTGCAGGCTTGGACTTGGCCGTGGTAGAGGGAACCCAGCATCACCTCGATGGGAAGCATCCAACTGGAGTCGGATTGGCTCATCTTGGATGGGAAATTGAAGGGAAAG